CCCCCCCGAGTTTTTTTCACTTTTTTTAAATTTTTTCTGTAATAGCGAAACGGATTTGTGAAATGGAGCCATAGATGGAGGATTTTCGATTAACAGAATTTACGATTTTATTCCCACATCTGCTTTTCACATACCCAGCCTCTTTCTTACCTCCATTTCTTGTCAGTCTTGCTCGACATGACCAATTTTGGCTGGACTTCTATCACCTTTCCTTTTATTTTCTATTGTTTTTTTTTATCAGTCAACACATCTCGTAGCTTTTGCATCGGATTGCACTGCGATCTGATTTCGCATTGATCTTCTGCATATGAAATCTCCACAAAACCCCATCCCAGAAATGGTAGTTTGGGATTTTTGTTCCCCCTGAAGCGATGTTGGCTTCCATCGGATACTTCAGTGTGCATGTTCATAAGGCTATTTCATATTCATTCAAGACACACATCCACTGAAAACTTTCTTGAAATACACCCTCGGGAAAACACGGGAATTCCAGATTTTCTTGTAATTTCTGCATACTTTTTTTGCATACTTTCTGCATACATACGGAAATTCCTCCGTACTTTTAGAAGAAATGATCGAAATTGGCGTAGAGAAAGTGGCTGAATTGCACGGTGCCCTAAATCAACGACTATCTGAAGAAGATCATGCTTCCGAAAACCCCTTGTCGACATTTTTGAGGTGAAATGTCATCGCTGATGTGCATTTTCAGTAACTAAAAGAAATGTGAAATGATCAGAGTTCAGATGTCCGGTAAAAAAACCATTACTCGTTTATCAAATGCGATTTTTTCAACAACTTAAAAGCAAAACCCGAAAAAGTGGGAAAAAAGGATCCTTTCGTAGTATATGCTACACCGGATCACCTCGTTTCAGATAAGTAATCGACTGATGAATCAGATTTTAGTGAAGCTTCTTTTGCAATTTTAACTATGCACAGAAGAGCTTTTGACGCGAAAAGATCGCATTGATCGAAAAAATGCCGCTGCACAACTTTTGGTATCGTTCTTCGATGATCGAAAATCTAAAAATAATTTTTTGTTATGATGTGAATAGAATTTTGTTGTTATGCGCGTGTTTAGGCTTCCGTTTTTATAGCGCAGCAGTTATTTGCATCGTTGGTTTTGTTTTCGCTTTAGATTCATTGTTTTTGTTTGCATTCCGGAATTGTTGTCCAATAAACTGTTACCTTTTTTGCTACGAGTACACCGATACTGTCAGCTTTTAGTGGAGAAAGTTGGGTTGCACATGGACAGGGAACATTCTTGTAAAACGTCAGCATCGCAACTTTTTTGGTTCGCGAGTTAGCAAGTTTCCCACCAGGACTGCTTTATGTAGCTTTTTCGCTTCTGCAGCTTGGTATTCCTAGCAAGATCAGTATAAGTTAACTCGGGCGGTTTCGGTTCATGATGTTATAAAAGTACATCGATAACATCATGAACCGAAACGCCCGATCTTAATTTATATTGGTCTTGCTAGAAATACGAATACCGCCTGGGCTAGCAGACATTGTATGTACATGGTGAAGAGAGGATGGGAAAATCAAACCGAGACAGTAATGCAAACCAAGATTTCCGGTGCGACCATGCGTTTTTATGCGAATCTTGAAGCACTCAGATCGTTAACATAATGAATGATTACTGCTTTACAACTTGAGATGTGCATCCACACTGGGATTGTTTTGGCTTTTCAAACAGAAAAAGGCATCGGCTGGGATAGAGTGTTGCATATTGGGCTGCGTTAAACCTCAACCTCCAGCATGTATGATTACCGTGAATTCTGTTTCATGGGAGATGAAGAATTTGCTATCACAATGGTTCACTGAAAGTGCAAACTGGACAATGAACAGGATTACGAGAGAGAGAAAGACCACAAATTCCGAGTTGGCAAGTTTCCCGTTGGAGTTTTAGCGTGATCGTCTGAGAGACATAGAATGCTTGAGAGATGAATCTGAAATCTGAAGGTGGTACATGGACAAAGGACATCCTTCTAAAATGTCAGCATTATAGCTTTTTTGGTTCCCGAGTTAGCAAGTTTCTCACCAGGACTGTCGCACTTTTGTATCTGAAAACTAAGTCCGCTTAGAAATTAAGTTTGAAATCTTTGCATCTCGCACAGAAGCAGAGAACATCTCGCTAGAACTTCGGCTTCGTAGTTCACCCAGTTTCTGAGTTGACGATTTCCTGCCAAAACTTTCACGTTCTCGGACATGAGGCTTAGACTCGCTTGAAAGCTGGTAATCGGCGGGAGACCCACTGGCAAAGTTTCATTATCCAAACCAACTTGATTACCTAGTTGAAATAACCGAACAAATGTACACATAACTCACACACACACATACGTAAATACTTGCACCACGGGTCGTCGAAACATGCGTTTTTGCTGACTGTTGCGCTACAGCAGTGCACCGCAAAAGCTCATAAAAAGAGTTGGCAGAGTGGCTTACTTGCAGCTGTCGAAGGATTTCGTCAATAACCGGTGGGTCCCACTTAACTTTATCGATGAAGCGTATCTTTGGGTCCACCTTCCATTCCGTACAGACGTACTTTCGCTGATCTTCCTCTTCGTTTTCGCTTTTTTCCGTTGATTTTTCTTTAGAAGAAAGTGCTCCAACCGGTTGAGATTCTTTCTACAACAACAATTCTGGTGTTCACTATTAGCACACTGAGGTGCATAGCTACTTCTTGT